TGCTGAATCATTCAGGAATAATTTGTTGAAAAAAAAGGTGTTTTCCATGAGTGAAAGAGAGCAAGTTAGTGGTTTAGAGATAAAAGCCTTGAGATTTTGGATTCAAAATTGATGTCTGCAGCTTATTGCAGATCATTTCCACCAAACAGGATAGTCCAGAGTTGTTTTGCAGCCATTGTAGTAAACTCTACTGGCTCACCTAACCCAATATCAGATTTAAATTACTCCCAAATGCTGAGGTAAAGTTGGTCTCTGCAGAATGTTGGCACATGAGGTGTTGTGAATGCTTGCCTGAAACTCGGACATATAAGTCTGAAGTACTGCTTAAAAAGAGCTCATTGTGTTTACTGTTACAGTCTCTGCAGAAGTCACTAGGGAGCTTTATTCAAGATTATATCCCTCTGCTCCAAGTAGGTCAAGGAAGTGGACTATGGTTCAGCACTGCTCATTTCCTTTACACCACTGCCATCCTCTTGACAGGTTGTCAACAGAGCAAATTTGTAACTCACTGCTCCCTGGACTGGATTTCCTGCGAAAACAGAATCACACCCCTCCTGATTTTAGCTGTCCACCATGACGAGGAGACAAATGGAGGAAGGAAATAGTTTAGCTCTTTGCATTTTGTGTATTCTAAAGCATTTTTTGTGAGTTTTGACTGTGAGCACCCTCCAGGCTGCACAGTTTAATACCATCAGATACTCCATTCAAGTCAAAGACAGTTCAGTGGTTCCAGATGTTGCCATAGATCTCATGTCTCACCACTTTACTGCTTCCACATTTCACCCGGTGGGTTGCTCCAGAAAGGTTTAGACATGTTGGTTATGCCTTTCTTTGGCTGCTTATTGTGTTACTTATAGAAAGTCTCAGTTTTAATTATTTGCCAGGGGATGCTTCTCTAGTTGTTTGCAAAGTTACATTAGGAAGTACCAGAAGCGCTTATTCAATAATATTTCTTAAGTGGAGTATAAATATGCCTTGGGTTACTTACAGTAATTCTATTCAGGGAAGATGAGTCACCTCAAGTGTTTTCCAGTTTCTAGTTTGAACCCAGCTGGGATTTGCTAAATACTGTACTCAGACACAGCATCAGGCTAACTGCTATTACAAAGCACTCTGATAACAAAAATGCAGCTTACAGTCATCAAGTTTCACAGATGGGGCCATATTGGACTTTGAGACAAGAGTTGAAGGGAAACCTCCACTTTTCTAATCAAAATTTTGACTTCAGAAGACTTGTAACTTTTGCACTTGCAAATGGGAAAGTTCATTGAGTTAGTAGCCTACTAATGCATCATCAAAAATATGAAACCTATTAGGCAGGTAAGAATCTTTTTGTTTTTACTTTTATGATGTAATTTAATACATTTAAAAATCTACTTCTAATTTTAGGGCTTCAGAATGCATGGGATATTGGTACTACCAAAAACCTCCACTTCAGGTGAGACTCGAAGAAAACAAATGTATCCGTTGTGATGCAAACTTTACTGAGCTTGGCTGGTTATCCTCCCGCAGCAGTGTGTCGCAGTGAGCTTGTCGAAGATATTTTGGATTTATGCCCAATATTGTTAGCCTCGTGAGACCATCCTGATCTCGCGAGCTTTCAAGATTTCACTCGATAATCAGTCTGGAGACTCTCCGTTGAAGAAAATTTGGAGACGTTCACCAAACGAACGTCCAATCAGCGTTGGCTTTGAGGCGGGTTGAGGTGTGACGCAGTTGAGTCTAAAGAACATGGTGGCTTCAGCCGATGAAACTAGCGTTAGCGTGGCTATCGAGCAAGTTTTATCAGAGTATTTCTTCACTGAAAGAAGAGCAAAACACTGCTCTGGAGGCTTTTTTCAGAGGAAAAGATGTTTTTGCTCTTCTCCCGACTGGTTTCGGCAAGAGTTTGATCTATCAATTGGCTCCTCTTCGTCGTCGCTCTGTTACGTCATATGCTTCGTTGATCTGATTGGTTTATTTGGCCCGTCTATCACCAACATAGGCCAATCAGCTAACCAGTATTTTCGCCCCTTCCCAAAATTACTTCTAAGGAAGGTTTCCAGATGGATATGCGGAGCAAATCCATCTGGCGGAGTCAGGTTACAATATTGTAGCAAGGTCTGTGCTATGTTATCCCACACCACAATGCAAGAGGGACAATCATGAACTAGCTGTGGGTCTAGATACGGCAGAGGCGGTGAGGAAGTGGGGGCAAGTTTGTGCGACAACGGAGGGACATGAGGGCGAAAAAGAGCGGGGATCCAGGTGGAAAAAGGGTCCCAGCGTTCTTGCGCACCTCGCAAATACAAATACAACAAGCCGGTAAGGTACCAAACAGGAAATACGCATAGTGTAGAGCAGATGTAGATTTGATTAATCAGAGGCCTCCTGTCTGCAGCACTGTTTGTGGTCACCTACAATTTGGAGTGGTGCACCAGAGTGTCTGCGATAGGTTCAAAAGCACATTTGCATTCCCTTCACACATGCAGACAACCTGGTGTCTGAGTATAAACCACCCTTAAAAGTGGTCATAAAGGGTGAATCATGAAATCCCTGCATTAAGAGTTCCCAAAGTAACAGAACAAATACCCCTTTTGTGTGGCATTGGCAATACAAATGTTGTCATTAATCTTTCAGCACATTGCACATTGAATCAACCTTGTCATGATTTTTCTTTTTTGGACTCTTATTTTTCCACATTCGTGTTTGTCTTGTTTTTTTTCTAGTCATGCTTAAGTTTCTTATGTAGTATTATTGTTCCCACCAGGTTCACGTAATTAGTTTCATAAAACCAAACTGCTTTACATGGAATTTCAAAACTTGTGTTCGAGATTTGACTCAGATTTCTTACCTAGAGGTTTGCCTCAATGCTTGGATTGAAACACCAAACTTACTACTGAATCACAATTATTTTCTTCAACCTCTGGGTGTTATAACCTGATAGATGGACACTAGTGAGCTAAATGCTGCATATTGATAAGATTTATTTGTGTTATCAGCTTTTCAAAAATGTCTTTAAACAATTCATAATAACCCCAAAAATTATTTATAAGCACACAACAGATTACAATGATGGGTACATCTGTTAATGAATATGGGTAAGATGAAGAAATATAAAAACACAGTCATTCTTCTCATTTTACAGTTGGTTAAAAACAGTCTCAGAGTTTGTCACACCAGTACTCAGATGTTTCAATGTGTGAGGGGACATCGATGTGGAAGATCTCAGGAGGTGTCTCAGACGGACTGTTGACCCCTGAGTCGCTGTCAGGGATGGAATGGTTCAGCTCTTCCGCAGAGTATTTCGTCTCAGGTATCTGGGAGGAAAGAAACGCAGCCTGGGGCAGATTCTCAGCCTTGGGTTTGATGTTTTTGAAGCGTTGCAGATGCACGACTTCCCTGCTCTCTGGAGTGCACGGAAACAGCATTGAGACCTCTTTGCGGAATCTGGAGCTCATGCCGAAGTATATGAGGGGGTTGTAAAAGCTGGCAGACTTGGAGAAGAGGCGGGTGACGATGCTGGTTGTGCTTGGCACATGGAAACCCCAGGCAGACCACATTGAGACTACTGCGTATGGTGACCAGGCCATGATGAAAGCAGTGCAGATTACAATAGAAATCTATTGTGACACACAAAGAAAAGATAATAGTTTTACTTCAAATTCTGCACACCAAGACTTAATCATTCTACACTGGACCTACCCTTGTGACATCTCTTTCCATCTTCCTTTGTCGTGCAGAGAGAAACCCATCTGCAGACATTGTATTTGTGCTTTTTACGGTTTTTATAATAGATATATAGGAGAAGAGCATGACCATCACAGGAATGAAAAAGCAAAAGATGAGGATGGAGATTATGTACGACTTGTAGATGGTGGAATAATTGGCTTTGGACCAGTCCACTTCACAAGTGCCATAACCCCGATCTGTGAAACAGAAGATGGGCACAGTTAGGGTGTGTTATGATACAGTAGATCAACTTCTACTCTGTTTTGGTTTTGGTGTTGTTTTTAATTGAGTTGCATATATAACACCCGGGTACAAGTGATTTTCCCCTTTCAACATTTTAGTTGTTTCATACCAGTCATGCATCAGTTCCTTCCTATTTTGGGAGTGTTTGATAATTAAAAGCATAGTTATATTTCCCCATTAATGGTGGCGACTAGTTGCAGATATTTGGTGCTATTTTATGTGTGATCTCAGATCTTAGTTTTTTCATATTTTGTAGAAACCATCCGATCCACAAACAAATGGAGAAGAAAAGGTTTACAGAGATAGGAAATTATACATAAGATTCAAAAATCCTTTGTGTCATTTATCCATAAAAAACCTTACCAACCAAACATTACATTTGATTAATTTAACTGTCCGCATAAGAGGAAATATTTTTGGTTTACCTTCTTAATTCAAAGCATTACATTAGAACACAAAATACAATATAATGATACGGATGCAACCAGTAAGTGATTAAAAACAACTACCTTAATGTGCTATATACCATGGTTTTAGGCTCTTGTTCAAAATATTGATTGAATTTGACATAAAATGGACCCCTATAAACGTTCTCTGTTGGTATTCTGTAACAATGTCCAGAGGGCTTGGGTTATGGATCTGGCCATTCTGCTTACCATTGTTTGCTAAAGAATTTTCAATGTTTTTTTGTTTGTTTTTTTTTCAATACAAGCCAGTCACCTTCTTTGCAATTTTTTTTTTTTTTTTTTTTTTTTTTTTACAATTCTGTGTGGATTATTTTTTTTATCTTTCCCCTCTGCAAGGTACCCAAACCACACAATGATATCAAAACAAGAACGTCTTTAAACAAACCTGTGTAGCTGCCCCATCCCAGCAGAGGAGCAATGGACCAGAACAACGCACCGGTCCAAATGAAGAGTACCGACACTGCGATGGTGTTGATGCTGATGCAATGTGCTGGAAAATATAAACAAGAACATCAGAAGACAACCTCAAAACAAAGCTATGCAGATTTAAGCCTTCTTCTGGGATTGATTTCAGTTTAAAGGTTAAAGGTTGGGATTTTGGCAAACACAGAACAGAAACAGTGAGAGGCTTTGAAGGAAGGAAAATTCTTGCTCCTTGTTATGAATTTCAGCGCTCTCATTGACATTTGTTGAACAATGAAGCCCTTTCTTGTATTGACAGCCTTTACGGAACGTTTGCATCTGAAAAGAACATCTGTCGGAATGATTGTACACACAAAAAAGCTTCAGAGGAAACTACAAAAGGTCAGCTGCTTCTTGGCAACTCTAAAATATAATTCAACATTAAGTTAAAGAGCATTTAAAAAAATTTATATAACTTTTTGATATTCGCATATCAACAAAAACAAACGTCTGTGTATTTTGTCTATTTTTTGTGTATTTGATTTTGTCTCACAGACACAAAACAAAATATAATTTTAAATTTTATGAATAGATATAAAACAGGCTATTTTGATTATTCAGGCTGTTATTCTCCTCTGAGACCATACGTTATGGAACCTTTTTTGATGCAAATAGAGCTGGAGGTCTTTTAATGCATGTCTCCTGCAGGTACACACATGAAATGGAATGAGTCTTTAATTTTTGCAAATTTCTTTTCTAGAATTGTTTTCTTGAACCATTGCCCTGAGTTTAGGTCGATTCTGTTACATTTAAAATTTTCTTTCTCTTTATAATAACATGTTTGATGTTTTTTTTCTTTACCCCAAGCAGTTTAATTTTATTTTGGTTTCGTTTTAACATAGCACCATCTTCCAAGTATTCATATAAAAACTAAGAATTTTCACTGCTTTCATTTGCTATTTTTCCAAAAAGGCCAAATTTCAGGTACAGAAACTTTCCTTGTCATGACCTAAGGATTTCTGCAACTCCTTCCAAGTTACAATTGGCCTCTTTGGTGGTTTTCAGATGTAGTGTTCCCTTCATTTTTAATTAAATGCCATATTTTAAGCCATCATTAAAGGTGTCCACAAATTAATCTTGATTATTTTGCTGTGATTCAAATCTTGGTCTTCTTGATCTTGTGCCCTATTATTGGACTCTAATTATTACTTTGTGTTAGCCTACCATATGAAATAGGAATGGCACTAGAAAAAAGATTTATCTGTGAAACAGCCATGAGAATGTTAATCGTTCATTTGGACGATTCCAAAAAAGAAAAGGTAAAAAAACAATCCGCTGGACATTGTTTCCAAGTTTGAAGACATTTCACTTTCCAGCCAGGAAGCTTTTTCAATGGAAAAAGAACAGAAAGTTTAAATATAATGGGATTTTGAAAATAATGTAAGATGCAGAAAAATTATGAAAGGTCTAATAAATCAGGGGCATTGATCTTGAAGGTGCTATAAAATATTTTTTAGGCCTCCCAAAATCAACTACTGGCTTTTAATATCGTAAAAATATTGCCTTTGGTACTGCAGAATATTTATCTGTTATGGAATATTGTTTTGTGGTGCAAATGTTCCAATCTTTAAGAAGGTCACTTGCTATCACAAGGACCCTGACTCTCACCTCATGGGTCCACCCATTTCATGCCCCTGAGCTGCTTCAGCATGGTATCAGGCTACTTCTGGCGATTATTCACTAAGGCTGAACAAAGGGTCACAGCCAAAAAAATGCATTTAGACGTTAGCTAGAAAAATAGAAGCTATTGAAGTGCTTAAAGAGCCAATTCACCTAAACTTTGAGCAGAAATGATCACTGTATTACACCAACGCTGCCTGATCAGCGAACGTGGGTGTTTTTCTAACTGATCAGGGAAGGTAGATGGTTCCTAGAGGAAGCTGATAATCATTGCTCTTAGAATAGTAACGGTCACTCATTTCAGGACAGGTAAATGCTGCTGCAGCTAAGGAGGCACAATACTCAAAAAAAAGTATGATACTTTTAATTGGGGAGTGGTTGTCTAGTGGTTAGAGCATTGAGCTAAGGTCCCAGAGTTCATGAGTTAAAGTCCCACACACTCCCACAGACTGCCACTCTTGGTCCCAAAGCAAGACCCTTAACCCTGCACTGCTCCCCAGGCACCACAGAATGACAGCCCACTGCTCCCCAAGGGGATGGGCTAAATGCAGAGAGTTAATTTCGTTGCTCTCTATCAGTGTAATGACAATAAAAAGTTGGGGGGAAAAAATTACTTAGACTTGCATGGATCAATTAGAATACTCACTTTGGGTATTGTTTTTTTAAGCTAAAAAAGTTGACTTTGCATGATAACTATCCTTTAAACGTGTGTTTAACGCAAATTGGAACTGAACTGCTCATAAATTTCTATCTAGAAAAGAAAAAAAAAGAAAATGTAGAGCCACTAAAATGACCATGCCTACATAATCTGTCATTTGATGCAAAAGAAATAAGACTTTACAGCCGACTTAGCTAAAATAGGAACAATAATAACATGCCCCCTCATTCAGTCATTGTACTTTAAATTTTAACCCCTAGAACCCTACGGACCCACCGGCGGGTCCAGCTGCTACGTGACCTCGTAATTTTAACAAACCCCCAGTATTGATGTAAAAAATACATTTGGCACAGTTTGGTGACATTTCTGGATAAATGTGCCAAAATGGCCTCTCCGCCTAAGAAATTTCTCACTAATACCATTCTAAAATAAATATGATTCATCTGATTGAGTCCAAATTTGGTATATTTTTACAGAACATTTAGATTTAGAAGTCTGTACTACTTTTTTGTGCTATAAATAATATTTTGGTAGTGTTTTGCAATGTTTATTTCAAAGAAAATTTTGGCGAGGTTAAAAAAATGCAAAATATTTAGTATTTTGTCCCTAATATTTCAGGCAGGGTCAAAGCTACAATGGTGCTGACACCAGAAAACCATTCTATGACATCTTACCTTTACAGAGGTACCAAAAGTTTCTTCTTAAATCTAATAGCTCTGAGGCTATAAGTGATTTACTTTTGTGTGTTTTTGTCAGGCAGAAATTTATTTATACCCCCTGAGGGTGTAAGAGGTTAATGTTTTAAAAACCGAAAGGTGTGTAAGTCTCTATAGTCTCCAAAAGGACTCCATGATGTTCTGGTCAAACATTGTAGAGCTCCACTCAGTTGCTGATGCTTTTGTGGCATTGTTGCACTGCTGCAAAGATCTCTCTGCCTCTTCTACAGGTTGGAATATGATCCTAAACATAGGTCCATAACTTTGAAACTATAAGTCCTATAAGTCATTATTTCTAAACCTTTTATTAGAAAGTACAGGAGAATAATAATGTGAGACTTATTTTGTTGAAAATAGATCAGAAATGGATCATATATAGTAAGTGGAAATGCTGACTATTATTCTCCCTGATTAAAAAAAAAGAAAAAAGAAAAGCAATAGAAAAACATTTTCACTGTTAAAAAAGTTTGGTCATAATGTGATGAAATAGAGATAGGTTCAAGAGCTTAAAAGTACTTTTGCCATGCAGTGTACCTTCAAGATCTCAAACAGAGCAATTGTAGCTTTTACACAAGCTCACTATGCAGACCCAGGGGTTATTTGCACCTTAGATCATTTGAATTGCTCTAGTAAACTCTGAATGAGTTGTTTTCAATGACAACCTTACTGCACATAAAGCCACTGGTGATATTCCACACTTACCACTAATGGGCACCGTTTACAGTCACAGAGTTTTAAAAACAACCACCAACACCATCAAATCAGATACAGTTTTCAACCTCATTTCCATGTAATTAGAACATTCTTTGCAGTGGATTTAGTCTCAAAAATAGTAAATTCCACCTCAAATTGTTCTAATAACATGCTGGAGAAATATAAATGGAATCCCTGGAGATGTAGGGTGGTTATTTTACTAGCTGAAAACAGAAATTCACTTTTCTGTGAGATAAGGTCAGTGGAATGAGAAGGATGGCAGCCATGCTGGTAAGAAGCCTCCTTTGTGTTTCCACAATTGTACTCTGAGAAGTTTGGTCTGACCTTTTTTTGGATGGCATCCCTTGATGTATCTGGTGACGCTGATAACTGTCAATGTATTGATGCTCACGAGGCCAAAGAGCAAGGTTAGGAAGCCATCTACCTGAAAGGAGACAGAGATAGGATTAAATATATCTTATATGGCTCCATTATCATATTTTAGCTGATTTTATGCTTTAGTCTGGAAGTTAGAGGCATCCATACTGCATTGCACGTGCATTTGACAAATTTAATCATATCTTTGTTTTTATTGTCACCTTCATTTTTCTTGATTTTGTTTCACAAAAATAAGGAACTCCGAGTTTATCAAGTTTGTTTGGTGTCACTTATCTCAGTGTCTCGTGTAAAGACAAAGAACTATCCCCTAATTTCAAAAATAATTATGGTAACTTCAATTATGCTATTTAATATTTTTCCAGCATTTTTTTTTTCAATGTTTTTTCCATGCATTATGGCAAAAACTAAGTGGAACATCTAAAGAAAATTAAGCTGCTGCAGAGCTGAGTCTAAATTGCACCCATATTTTGACAACATTCAGGTTAAAAAATTCCCTGAGATCCATAATTAGCATTTTATTACTTAACTAAAAAGAATATGCAATTGAATACTGCTAGAATATGACTTAGTAAAAAGTACAAACAGCAATAAAAAATGACAGTAAACAAAAATAACTAAAACCAAAGAAATGACCTTCTCAAACAGTCTTTAACCTATTGCTAATTCAAGTAGGCAAACCTTATGATGGGAGGAAATTGTGCCTATATTACTGTTATTTACATGGTAATTCACAAAGCTACTAACAGAAACCTAAAAAAAGAACCATAAAAAGAAAATTTTTGCAACATTTTTAAATGTATTTTCGAAGAGTATGTTGTAAATCCCTCATTAAGGTTAGAAGTGCAGAATATTTAATTGAGAACTACTAAAAAGGAGATAGCTAGACAATATTATATCACAATATTATTGAAATAAAACAACATTCATTCACATTCCCTGCCAATAGTGTAAGATATTTTTCCTGATCTGTTTGGGTTATGCATTGTTTCAGACTGATTATCTCTGAATCATAAGCCTTCTTAGAAGGCATTATGTTACGGTGCCTCAGTTGGGTCCAAGTATTCAACACCAGACGCCCTGCTGGGTAACTTCCTGGTGACACGCCTTATTTAAAGTCCTTTGCTGATTGATCTTTCTTTGTCCTAATCCAATTACCTGCAGTCACCACAGTTTCACACAAATTATGGCAAATGCCCTTGTGTTTCAATACACAGCTCTTCTCTTGCAAAACTTTTATTTCCACAAGAAGATTTAAAAGAGAAATTATCTGTGAACTTAATCTTCAGTACTCCTGTTTGACTGCAGAGTCCAGTTAGGCTTAAAGTTAACCAAACAAGGTCCTAAGGTGCAATGCAAGTCTTTAGTCAGATCACTTGGGTGCAACGCATGGATCTGGCTTGGCTTTGTTCTTGTCACATCATGCTTCTTGCATTAATCTGCTTTCCACCTGCTTGTTCACATGCTCTTTCTTTCTAAAGTTTTAAGGATAAACTATAGTATTTTATTTACTTGGAAAATCACCACAGTCCATCTCAGACCACCCATGGATAATGCAAAATAAGGATAGAAGACTACAACTTTCAACACCCTGCTTGAGTATGATTTTTCAGGGAGTTTTCCCTCACCTTCCTGCATGGATATAGCAGTTTCAACCAGAAATAGCCTCGAGCAAAAAAAATAGTCTGCTTGAATTCCAAGCGAAAGAATGACAACAATTTAATTTTGAGCTCTGGCCGTGAGGGGATAAGAAAACACATGGATGAATGGTGCACTTCACAGCTCACACTCAGAAAACTGTTTTGATATTAAATCTTCTGGAAGCAAATTGCCCTAGTGCTAAAAAATATGAGGAAATCATAAAACTATGCAAAAATATCAGAGTATAAGCTCCTAATTATTCTCCATTTGGGTGCTGACTTACTACTAGAAGAGTTCTGCACATTTAAAGGTCTCCGCCATGCTAATCTTATTACAGATTTAACCTCTAGCCTACATGGCTATTGCTAAAAATCCCTTGCATTGACACAAGCACACAGTCACACGCATGTTCGTTCAAAACCTCTGCTGTTTTGTAAAGCATTGAATTAATCAGAATTGCACAAAGATAGAAAATATACACAATGTTAACAGCAGCTCAGAACATCTAAAGATACAATTTTTGGGGGCATTTAGTTAGGGCATTCTGAATACAACGAAAAATCCGGAAATATTTTGGCATTTGTCTCCCGATTTTCTTCTACCTGGCAAGTCCAGATCCATGTGATCAGGAAACCATCGTCTTTTAGGATGTTAAATATCTCTACAATTCCTCTAGAGTAGCCAAACACTGAGATGCTGGCATCAGAAATGGCAAGGTTTAAGGTGAAGAAATCTGTTGGTTGGAGTAAGGCCCGCTGTCGATACAGGACAAAGATCACCAGACTGTTTCCAAACCATGATAGCCATCCTGCAAAGAGAAAAACAAAAAAAACAATTCTATAATGTAGACTACAATGTAGTTCCATAATGCAACCAAAATCATGTTAGGAAAACCTGTAAAATTAAAGATTTGTGGAAGAGTTGTGGAGTGTTTTTTGTCTTTTTTGTGACCTTGTCCGTCAATATATTAAATCAAAGTATTACTTAAAAAATTATTCCTCTCTCCATTGCTTTTTCTTCATGGTCCAGGGGCCCTGATGGCTCCAGCAGTCTATGCGTGAAAGGTGGCTTATCCCCTGGAGAGGTCGCCAGGTCACGGCAGATGAGAGACACAAACATTTACAGACATCACATCTCAGGACGATATAAAGACACAAACATCGTTTTTAGACTGTGGGGGGAAGTCAGAGTACCCAGAGAGAACCTACACATGCAGAAGGAGAAAATGCAAACTCCATGCAGAAAGATCCTAGGCAATGGATTGAACCCAGGGCCTGCTTGCTGCAAGGTAACAGAGGTAGACGCTGCGTTGCCATGCAGCAATTTATGTAAATGTCAGATTCTAATAATTTAGAGATTCGGAAAGCTTTGAAATAAATTAATGATTTCACCTACTTTTTATTATAATTTCTGAAGGTGAAATTTAATCTTTTAATGCAGTAGAATGATGACACATTGGAAACCTTAAATAGTGAAGTCTAATTTTATGGATGTAGTATGAAAAATATTAATATTTACTGTTAGGCGCAACATCTATTTTTTTGCTATCCAAGGTTTGCTTCACCTCACAATGATTCCTAGAAGAAGCTATGACATTGAGAAACTCAGGGAAGATCTCATGATCAATAAACCCAGCAGGAAATGCCTTGCTTGTCCAGAAAAATGTACCATTCTCTTCTAGTTTGATTGCAATTAATGTCCTATTTGCCATATGCTCTTTATACTATTGTGCATTTCTAGAATTTAGTGCCTGAATGTGTCACTAGGTTTAGAGTAGGGCCCAAGTGGGGATAGAAATATCAGAAATGAAACAGAAACAGCAAAAGGATCTATGTCAGCCGAGGAGCGTGTATATCATGAAGGACAGTGGAAAAGGGAATTAAACACATGTAAGTAAGTCTTGAGATAATGTGAAGCAGCAGGGGCAAAATGAGCATATATATTGTTTCTCCTATTACCATGAATAAGGTCGAACTGGGATATAAGACAAAGCCACCAAAAGGGAACATTTAAACAGGAAAATATCAGTTGATATTTTCCTGCTCTGTTCTCTGCTCTGATGGCCCCTTTAAACAGGGGCCATCCGGGCCCCTGTTTAAAAATATCAACTGATACTGCAATAATGAAATAAACCTGAATCAACAAGGAAATACTGAAATTTAAAAGCCTAGAGATTATAGCATCAAATATATGTATTTGTCTTTTCTTGGTACCTGGGAGGTGTTCGTGAATCCTAGGATTTTTTTTTTTAGGCCCATCATCTAGTCCAAATAGAGCCTTTGTATAGCCCCTTGTCTTTTTGAGTGACCTCGAGACAGACGGTACCAATTCAGGAGCAGTAAAGCTGCTGATACATGAAGATTAGAGCAACAGAAACAGACCAGAAACGGAAGCAGTTCCAAGAAAGTAAAAGTCTGCTTCTTAAAAAGAGCTTTTTATTCAAGACACTGTTAGCATTTGAAGAAAACATAGATTTCTTACCAACACATTGGAAAATACTTTAAGCAATGGATTTTTTTTAAGTATTTTTCAGATACTAATAAATTACAGCTATTACAGCGGTAGCTGTAAATTAGAATTAGTGTTAGCATCTTTACTGATACTATTTTGTACCTTTTTCTAAGGTAAATGGTTAAAAGTAGATCATAGATTAATGATGAATTTTATTCTCAATATATGAAACACTGTATGCTTTTTTTCAATACTAATAAATAAGTGTTTATAATCAATTTATGTGAATAAATATTATTAATTAAAAAAATCATGTTTTTTTTATGTATGTTTGAATTTTTCAAAAAGGAAAATCCTCCTCCTGAATAATTTTTAATGGCTTGTTAAACTAATTATAATGCAATATTTTTTTTTTTTTTTTACTGAAAAGTTATATATCTGGAAATGTATACTCAGGAGTCTAACCTTAATATAATAGTGTAGATAACAATTAAAAACATCATATGAGAAGAAAAAAAAAATTTTGGAGTTGCAGGTTTTCCCTCGTTTGGTCCAGACTTTTAGAGCAGGAAGAACTAATGAGTATAGGATTTAAATCCTTTTAATTTTATCTCACCACAAATTCTCAGCAATAGCCTGATATTTGATGGGAACATAAATATTTGAAGAATAGCAAAGTAAGTTTGTGTGTTCTTTGACTTACCCAGCACTAACAGGTAGATTCCAACAATAGTTTCTCCTTGTTCAGAGAGAGGAGGATCTGTATGCAGAGTGCTGAGGTTGTTATTCCTCCATGGAATATTCACTATTTTCACTGGAAACCCCTTCAGTGTTATTTCCATGGCCTGAACTTTGATGCCTCTACATGAATCCTTTCTGCCTTTAAAGACGGCTCTGCTGTCCTCTGCTTCCTATAGACACTGTCGTCTTACACCGACGGGGATGACTGGTCAGTTGGTTTTAAATCCAGCTTAGACACCGTCCCTAATGCCTGACTGCTCTCTGGCTCCAGCGTCTGCACAGGTAATCCTATTTATTTCCTACAACCAAGAAAATAAGGATTTTTGATGGAAATCCTGTCAGTAGCAATATATCCAATAAGCCTAATACGGTCATTTCATTTAGTTTTAATTAGCCAAAGTACCAGGATTAACCAAACCTTAAAGACAGCAAAATATCTTACCCAAATCCCAAACCTTTCTTTGCTGGATCTGCTGTTTCTTCTGTATTCATAAGTATTTTTCCTTTAAAGAACTAATCCCATGGAAGGCCCCATAGCAATATAATATTTCAGATCGTAATCATGTCCTTTATGTTAACTTTTTTAGTGAAATATATTGATTTAAGTTTTTATCAAAACCTTTGTGCAATATAATATTTTCCAAATTGCTATGATATCCTAAATTTAAAAAGGTTAAGACTAAAAAAGCAATTATTTTAATGAAAAAGATTTTGTAGGGGTGTAACTTCAAATATAGGATCAAACACGCTGGATTTCGTAGATTATGGCTCTTTCCGAATACCTCAGTTTGTAGCTCTTACCTCTTGTTCCTAGCTCCTATCCCTTCAACTTTAATGTGATAGTAGGCAAGAACACTTTCCACTAAAGATAGAAAAGGAGCTTCGGACTGCTGTGCTAAATCCAGAAACCCTTCAGCCTTATGGATGTTATTACGGGGTACATATGCATCTATGATGTTTGTCAAACTGGGACAACAGTCTTCTGCAAAAACAACAGAAAACAAAAGTTATGCAAATGATGAGGTTCTCTATTATAAACCCCAATACCCATGAAGTTTGTACATTAGCATGTGTTATATGCCACTAAATAATGTGTTTTTGTTAAATTTGTGTTTATCTGTGGGCAACCGTATAGCTTCTAGTGGCAGACAGGAATGTCAGGAGGTTCCTATGCTAACTGCATCAGCACCAGGAAGCATAGTGCTTTATGGTACTAGGTCCTTTTAACAGTCAGCACTATGCAGATAGGAGTTATTCTGGTGACGTGGGAGCACTTCCACCGTGGCTCCTTACCGATTTGAGATTTTCAGATCAAGCCTAAATCATAGGTTTTCTTTGGAGGAAAGGGTTACCAAAGCATGACTGGATGTATGATTTGACCTAACAGCAAATGCAGCTAAAAGGTTTTACAGCAATATTTTCACTGACAGATTAAAAATATTGTGTTTGTCTTTTGTTTTTACTAAGCTTTAATTTCATGGTACATAGTGGCTCAAACATCAAGTCAATTGGTTTATTAGCTTGGCTAAATAGAAAAAAGTATTTTTCTTAAAACAAACAAATGAAAAGAAAAAAAAGAAAACTCTTTGGTCCTTATTGTAGAGCAAAGCTTTTTATAGACACATCATAAAAACATCTGAATGATACAATTCGAGTGTTATCTCTTAATGACATAACAGGCTATTTCTATGAAGTACAAAAAGCTTATTTCTCTTGTGTATGTCTTAGTTTTTTTGTTGGTTATATCTTTGCTTTCTCTGTTGATTACTTTTTGAATTATTGAAGGGGTTCTCTTAGTTACTTTTTGGATTTTTTTTCCAGTTGATCCCAGATACTCATTTCTCCCTCAGCCAGAGCCTTTTGTCAGTTAACAGATTCCTTTCACCCTTTGTCCCTTGGCCTATTGTTTGCACCTGTTTTCTCCGTTAATGGTTAGGGTCAGTGTTTACGGGCTGATTTTGGATTCAGCCACTGATTTGAAAGCAATCCCTCACACAAAGAATGCTTGTAGCGACAGTGGAGAGGAAAATTATCTTTTAACAGGAAGAAACCTCCCGCAGAACCAGGCTCAGTGTGAGCGGCCATCCGCTGAGGCCGACTGGGGTTCAAGGAGACAGAAGCAGACAAATATTGGCCACTTTACACCATTAAAATAAAAGCCCACACAAATTTGCACTATGTTTATGTGCCATTATCTTACACCTAGAAAAACATATAAAGAAACAGAGGGTTGCAAAAATCAAGTTAAATAAATGGGCCCAGCCTTAAAAGAAGATTGCTGAAAGTTTTCTTCTTTTGCAACTTTTTAAGGTGACTGAGGTAATGAAATTTTCTTAAATAATTTTTCATTTTTCACATCAATTCTTTATGTTTTCAGTATCAAAGGAATTCCAAGAATAAAGAGAAATTTTTCTCTTCAAGAAAATAGTTTTCCCATGAGAAAATGAAAGTTCTAGATCTATATTTCTTTCCTGAAGATGATTGTGGACGAGAAGTGACCTCACTGATAGATTTGAAAAACCTTTGCAATGAAGAGTGGAAAAATATTGATAAATCAAGATCTGGGATTTCCTAATCCTAAAACAAATTACTGGACTCTAAAAATAAGGTTGTGCACATTTCAGTAACCTGGATACTCTAGCAGAGGAAAATGATAAGTTCCGAATTCAGATTTATAGCTACTATATTGAAAAAAAGATTCTCTTCAAGATACAACGATAATCTGATTTAACAGAAATCTGTTTTCAACAGACTTTGGGCCTGACAATTTGCTCAGTATGAACTTTATGCTGTTTTGAAATCATACTGACCGAAATCAAATATCTTTAGTTCAGGACTTCCCCGATTTAACCAGTCAGAATCTCTGGACCGTCTCTCCAGTGGGATCTTTGACTTCCACTTATCAGTTCCATTTATATGAAGCTATGACTCTATCCTGCTACCATGACCTCTCTTTCATGCATGATATGATCAGGCTTGTGCATGCTGCACCAGGTTCAATGTGCATTGATGTCACAGTTAGAGCATCTGGAAATTCAAGGATGAAATGTGTGAAGCAATACCATATGAATTACAGAACTACAAATTTTTTTTCAGTTTTGTCCAAATGAGGCTAGTCCTGTCTTATTGATTAAAATATTTTTGCAGACTAATCGTTGCAACACATCTCCCCTCCTCCACTCTTCTCTTTACAGTGAGCTGCTCTGTGGCAACACATCTACTGAAGAGGGAACCTGAGCCACCACCCTCCATGTGCATTCAGCTTACAGTGCACAACTTGTTTTCCAGATCAGGCTACCACAGCTCTACTGGCCCTCAGGATGTGGAGGGAAGGGCTGCTGCCAGATCCCTTAATGCTTCTGCGTCCTCCTCATAAAACCCCTTTATAGAACCTCTGAAATTGTCACCTGTCCAGTAGCTAACAGGAACCACCGTCTTTGCTCATTTAAACCAGTTGATTCTGCATGACAGCTTCAGCTCTGCAACCATCTGTGTATGCAGGCCACGGCGACAAAGAAACATTCAGAATCCTATTTTTTTTAATCATTTGGTTAAGCTGTTTAGAGTGGTGACTTTTGTAAAAACATCAAGCACAACATTGCTGGGTGCTAAGTCGTGACCCTGCTATAGTGAAACCTCTTATGGTGAAAGTCAAGAGATTGGACTGTTTGGTAGCAATCAAGTGGTATGCTTCATGTTGAGGACAATTGCTGGTGAGGTTATGCTGCAGTTAACTGAAGAGGTCAAAGGTCAGTGAAAACCCTGCATTCAGCAGGTGCTAAGAATAACAAAACATCTGCCAGCAACTGACATAAAACAAGAGTATAAAGGCATGGCCTTGTTCACTAGAACAACACCATTCTTGACAAGTCAGGCTTTGAAGCTTGGCACAAACATGTGAGAACTGGGGTTTTCATTTATCAAATCTAAACCTCAGATTTCTGTGTAATTTATTTGGGTTTTACATAATAGAGAAACATGTGGTAGTACATGAATCTAAGGTAAAAGAAAGGGATATGTGGGTTTCAAAGTTCTAAGAAAGAAACATTGAAAGATTCTGGTGTGTGTCATTGTTTGGCATTGCTGGGTAGCTAAGACAGCATCTGCATACAGAGATCTTTGCCAATATTTGATTTTTATGATAATGTATGGTATTTACAACAAAAGGAGTGAACAGTTTAACTTCAAATAACTTAAAATGTTCTTCAGCCTCTGGTGGAGCACATACCAGTTTAATGGATATGAATGAGTAATGAACTCAAAAGCTAGAAACTTAGCAGCTTGATATTCCTGCTATGTGCTCATGTTAATGTTTGATTTTCACCCGAATTATCTCTGCAAAGTGATATTGCTTCTCAAACATCCATAAGCCCCGATTGCTCAACGGGCGTCCACGATGGCAGCCCACTGCTCCCCAATGGGGTTGGTTAAATGCAGAGGTAAATTTGTCCAATATGAGATCACTAAAGTTAAATTATTAAGGTGTTTTTTGCAGCCTAGTTCTGGCTGTATGTTACATTTGCCCACTGGAAGATTAACTTCCAGTCTGAGGTCTTTTGGCGCTTCCATTGGTTTTTGTTTTATTTCTTCAGGATAGCCATTTATTTTTCTCCATACATTTTGCAATTTGACCAGACATCCTGTTACTGCTAAATGAAAATGATGCTGCTAACATTCAGTTCTCTTCCTGCAGGACAAGCAGTTACATCTTTGTGACAGATATATTTTCTGTTTCCTGTGTAGCAGATGGCTTGTGGCAGAGTGCAAAAGAGACTTCTTATGGCTGTGCATCTACCTTGCTGGTCAGGTATGTGATTGGTCCAGGAACTGGGTACAAAAACATTATACAGTTGAAATAGATTGTGTTCGGGCAGCATTGCTCCAGTACTGCACTGAGCAAGGAGTAAAAAAGAAAGTTCTTGTTCGAGCATAGTTGTGTAAGTATGTGCACCATTCTGTACAATGTGACATTTTGAAACAGGTTTGCCTTATGATTCATGATCTTAATCTCTATTTTCCTTTTCCTCTTACTTGTACTCAAAAGTCATTGGTCTCATGTTGGATGATTTTCCCCTGTTTTTAGTACAATGGGAAAGGAAATGTTTAATTCTACGAGCCAAACCGACCAATCATCCAGATAATCTGGACAAAAACTGACAGTTACAACCCTACCAGGGCATGTTTTTAAGGTACATTTTTGGGTCTTAGATTGGGTTGATAAAAATGTGACCTAACCCACAAACATGTATCAATACAATCACTAAAATAATTTAAATGGGTGCAGCCTATTCTTTTTCTGACTGGCTTCCCTTGATACATTTTCAGTTGTGTCAAATTATTTCAATCTACAAATGGTTCATAATGTCTGGGATATTAGTTTATAAACTAACCCTGTTTCAAACTTCTCCCCATCTTTATTTTTTCCCTTTTTTCTTGGTTCCTTTGTCATCACAGTTTTATACAGTCCGCTCGTAGACCCATGAATCTGTCCAGAATGAGTTTAAATTACACACAGAAGGACTCTATGAACCAAACGGTGAATTGTAGAAGAAAAATGGTTGGGCTGGATTTTATTTGAGAAAGCCAGAGTAAAGGGGTTGTGAATAATTCAGATGTTTTTGGTTAAAAAATTGACATTTCTTCTGAATATGTAATACTTTGTGTTTGACTATCACACAATGAATGCCAATGAAATAGAAGTTTCTGGTGTGATACCAGGTAGAGTTGGGAAAGGTTAATTGAATGATACACAACACCATAATTTAGCCTAACCGAGTCCTGTTTAATTAGGGATGCTCTGTGTGCTCACAGTGGGCCACTATATTTTTAAACTCATGATGATTGTTGTCTCAAGCAAAGCTGTCGAGGAAAGCCTGCTGTTTTCTAAATGGAAGTGACAGACAAATGTACTTCTGTAAAACCATGTGTTATAAGCTACAAGTCAGTCAGAGGGCAACAAAGTCTCTCTTCACAGAGGACACGGACCACGTCAAAAGACCAATACAGGATCTGCTTTTATAAAAATGTCCACATACTCTCTCCTTCCTCGTCACTAATTAAGAGACACAGAGACTACTTGTCTGAAAGGTGCATTGACTATTGAACTAAATGGCCCACTTGTCATTTTCGAGGTCAGACTGTGATACATTTTAAGTTTACTTGGAGCTATGGGAGTTCACCAACATAGTCATGAGCTCCTCCAGAGGGAATCTTAGACAATTTTTTTTAAAGAAAGAATGTTAAAGTCAGTTTTTCAATCATTTGGTATCAGAAAAGGATTGTTAATTGTTTTCTCTCAAGAAATGCTTAACCTAGACGCTTTCAATGGGACTTTGATCTGGAGACTAGACTAAAAAACTTTTGATTTTGTTTCAGTCAACCATTTCTGTGTTGATATGTGTGTTGGTATGTGTTTTGCTTTATTATTCTACAGAAAGACCAAATGATGACCCATTAATCCTAAAGGTCCTCATTAGAACTCTTAATATTCTAATGAGCTAATTATGCCATTTGCACTCTGGCATGGTTTGAGAGCGCAGGCCTCCACCAAGCAGCAAATTTTGTCCCAAATAGTTTCTTATATCTACAGCTAAAAGTTGCACATGATCTGGATCATTATCAAATGTTCTGCTCCAACCTTCTTCATTCGCTCTGCTCCCTTCATACATATTCAATCAGCAGATTAAGACTTCTAGTGAGGCATGGCTCACCTTTCCTGTGTTTTTGTCTTTAGTAGTGTTGCGCCAATGCCATTTTTTGGCCCCGATACGATACCCGATACCTGGCTGTGCAGTATCGGCCGATACCGATACCATAATAATGTAAAATAATTGCGATCATGGCTTTGTCAAGCTGCTGCCTACCTTTGTGAAGCAGGAAAAAATCTAATACAAAGTGAATCCAGTAGAACTTTTTATTGCCTACCACACTGCAAAAAAACGAAATCTAGATAAGTAATTTTTTCTTAAAATAAGTTAATTTTTCTTGTATTGAGGAGGTAAAAGAGACATTTTGCCAATGGAACAAGACAATTTACACTTAAAATAAGAAAACACAATTGTATTGTCTTATTTTAAGTGCATATTATCTAATTAGCTTATTTTAAGAGTAAAAACACTCATTCCATTAGCAAATCGTCTCATTTACCTTCTCAAATTAAGGGTGAATACACTTAATTTAAGACATTTTTACTTATTTCTAGATCGTTTTTGCAGTGCAGGAGTGGGTGACAATAGCTGAATAAACTTGGCTCTCAAAATGGTATCGGTGCCCTATTTGTTGGTACTCGCCGATACCGATACCACCATTTTAGGGCAGTATCGGGGCCCCGTCCGATACTGGTATCGGTATCGGTGCAACACTAGTCTTTAGTATAATATTTCTGAATTTTTTTGAGTCAGATGGTGAAGCTGTCAATAGTCACTGCTGCCACTCTCTGGTTCAGGGGAGAACTGCTTGTTCCGCCAAAGAATGTTAAAGGTATAGAGGAGGATTTTCCTGAACCACCCTCTCCTCTTAAAAAAAAATGCACATGCAGAACCCTGTACCTGCTTCTGAGAGGAAATGCCTAATAAACATGTGCGAGAGCATGCATTCTCCTCGTTTTACTGGCAGTGATGTGGAATGGATTTCTCCAAATAGCATGCCAAGCTTTACCTGTCGATTAGAAACTTTGCAATATGGGCATCAGTGGGAAGCATGCCCTGTGCTTTCAGTTTCAGCAACATCGTGTGAAAGAATCTCCCAAAAACAATCTGGTCTTGTTTCTCTCCTCTGAGGCTTTCTCTTCTTCTCATACGCTTTGTAGACACTTTTTCTCTTAAGACTCTTGGCTATTTTTAAAGAACTGCGGTGAGAAAGGTGAGCTTCAGTGACTGGCTGAAACCATAGCTCACCACACATATACACCTGAAAGTGCGCATGGGCAGAAACATCTCACCGGAATGATTGACAATTAGGAGAACCACTTATTTTGATGATCCACTTGGAAAAAAACATCCTCCACTATACCTTTAAGGAACCCTTTAAAAAATTCTGCATCCGAAATATGATGTGGATCATCAACAACATGTAATGGATTGTTACTTGGACTAAGGTGCAAATTCGGTAAGATTGTCATTTAATTCCTTTCATAACTTATAAGTTATACTTTACACAGCAGACAACAAACTTGCCAAAAAAAACATAACCTCCTTGTCATTAATAAAGTCAAGCCATCATTTTCCTTAGAATTCAGCACCATGAGGTGAGTGGATCATCAGCAGTGATGACACAGCGCAGTGGAAGTTTATGTTAAGTGTACGTTATTAATATGTAATTTCTGTGAAATTTGCAAGGCAAGGCAGGTTTATTTATATAGCACATTTCAGTAGCCCAACAATCCAAAGGGCCATATATGAGAAGAAGAAAAATACATTGCAGTGGCATAAAGACAGCAGAATGAATTAAAGAGCATAACTTTAATAAGAAAATGTAGATGTTCATATTAGAAAAATATAACATCATAGATTA